TGTGGCAGGAGTATCGACTCATCTCCCCCCCCGTTTTTCACCCTTCCTTTGATCGCCTCTGTCTTGCTACATCTTGTTCGTTACTCACGTCTGTCAAGTCCTTCTGCATGCTCTTCTTGCCCCGCACCATGGCTCTAGGCCCGTCCACGATGTCGTCGGTGCGCCTGCACCACACGTAGATGGCCCACACCGCCTGCGGTTATCGTGGCGGATGGTTGGGACGAAACCATCAGCGGACACATCACGATCATTAATTGAAACATGAACATCCATCACGAAGGCTGTAAGGGTTCACTGCCTTGAACGCTCATCGACCAACCGACACCACGACCACAAGTTTGAAACATCCAAGACCAAGACGAGGTTCAGAGTTTCACAGGTTGAGCTCATTGGCTCTTCGGGCCTTCACCGATCACCGATGAACTGGTTGTCCCGCACCGCCGAAATGACCGATATCAGACCGGAGACTATTTGCGAGCTAATCGGTGGCATTTAGGGTGGCAACGGAGGCCTTGCATTCGAACATACTTCTATTTCAGCATCGGCGGAAAGATCACCGATACAATTTCCTACCTCAAGCACCACAACAAGCGCCTGTCACCATAGTGATGCCAAACCTCCTCCGTTATTACTCGGGGGGACACGCGGTTGGGAGGCCAATACGATCTACAGTATATCCGGCCAGCGTGAGAACAAAGGACGAGACGCCACAAACAACACATAAAACCACAAGTCCTACCTTGAACATTGCAGGTGATATGTCAGCAACAACACACAGAACCATTGCAACTGCGACAGGTCGTACCTTGCGTGCCACTGGCGACATGAACTTGGTCCCGAGGTAAAAGGTCTTTGCGAATATGCCCGTGATACGCTCGCACTCTTGGTACGCCTTACAACAGCAGAAGCAGCAACAGCAGCAGCAACAGCAGAGGAAACGGGAGCAAACACAGAAACAATGGGAAGGAGCAGCAACCACAGGGGTAACCAGAAAGGCAGAGAGAGAGACAGAGATAAGAGAGAAAGACAGGTAGAGAGAGGAAGACAGAGAGAGAGAGGGAGGAGCATACGCGTATGAGAGAAAATGAAGGGTCGAGACTACGACTACGACAACGATTGGGTCATGTCGCGGTACGTCGAACACAGACACCATCGTCACGACACACAGAAAGGTAGTACAGTAGCTGCTGCGATGGGCACACAAGACCAATCGCTCGTGGGAACGATACAATGCTTGGTGCTCGAGCACTCTGTCTGCTGCAGCAAACACGGAGCGATGGCGTCGAAGTGGTGGGACCGCTTTGCCGAGAGATCTATCGTGGGAATGATACACAAAAAGATAGTACAAAAGGCACCAAGTATCAACGGTTACGAGAGCGGGTAGCGCACAAGTGACAGAAACAACAACGATGAGACCAGACGAGGTAGGTCCGCTACGGGATGGCCAACGTAGCCATGCCGCCATCACTGGTTTCGTGAAGGAAAGGCTAGCATCACCCCCACCCCGATGACAGCATCAGAGCAACAGAATCGCAATCATCACAAACGAGAGAAGATCAGCAGCAGCAGGCGGAGGAACAGTAACTAGCAGCCTTACCGCACTGACAGTACTGCAGGGACCAGCAGAACTAGCACCTATTAATAGCACCACTGATGACGCCAGCAACAATAAATACTGCTTGTCCAACATTACCTGTTCTCGCACCGCAACCTCCAGTCCATTAAAGCCGAAAAAATACCGGCAACGATTCTTGTTCTGGCCATTATCACTGGTTGGTTCCTCAGTGTCAGGGCTACAACGACCTCCAGTACATGTCATCAAGGTGTACCTCGCGGTTGATTTGCTAGAAACCGGCCAAGCGGCAAGTTACCTGGTTGAGAACCGCACGGCGTCGGCTCAATTCTGCCGGCCCTTTCGCCAGCTCGAGGTTCTCCAAGTCTCCCTCAGTCAGACGTTTCGCGTTGTCGACCGCCTGTAATTTTGTACAAAAAAAAAAAAACAGGAGGAAGGGAAATTGGCCAACGTGAAAAAAGTGATGGCCATTGTAGACAAAATATCTGCCCTTCGCGATAAGCACACGGCCTGTATACCGGGAATATGAGAGGGAGAGAGAGAGGGGGGGAGAGAGAGATGGAGGATACTCGAGCTTGAGACTGCCAACATTGGTTCCGTGTGCTGTGTGGCGTCATCCCCGCGGATGAAGATTAGAAAGCTCTTCGCCGACAACAGCAGCAACAGCAGCAACAATAACAACGTGTAAGCTGGAAAAAAAGAGTCGGTGGGTGTCTGTCGTGTGAGCCTACTCGAGCGCCATTTAATAGTCAACACTCACCTTGGTGATGTCCTGGATCGCGTTGAGTCGTGTCGATGATCGAGGTGCGTGGTGTTGTGCGAGACGTTCCGTGGAACATCCCACATAGAAAGAAAGAGGGATGCCAGCGAAGAGCGGAAGGGCGGAGAGACCAACGTGTAATGTAAGAGCACAGCACACGGGAATAATGAGAACTTGACTACAGCAGGACTATGTCAACCCCAACGATTTTAACCAGCACATGTGTATCCGTGCCCCACCTTCCTGAGCCCCCCCACCCTCCCCCCTCTTTTGTCACGACTTCGGACACAACTGGCAAGTGTCTCTGCGAAGGTCTCCATTCGACAACAGGCAAACGACCACCACCACGACCATCACCACCACAAAAAGCCGTCGACGGAGCTGCACAAGCGTTCTCGTTCCCAACCCGCTACTCCACTCACGTTAGCCGCCGTCCCCGTGCTGGCGGCGGACATGCAGAGAGCCGACGACGCCCCCCCCCCCCCTCTTGCCACGTACCCCCCCGCTCCCCTTCCGCTCCTCCGCACCGCCGCGACGCCGTTCGCGTTGTTGTTGTTGTTGTTGTTGTTGTTAACGTTCAGCTCGGAAGCGCTCAAGGTCGAACAACACCCACCCCCGAGCCTGCCGAAATATCGCCCGCCGCCGCCGCCGCTGCCGCTAGCGCCGGTAGCTCTGGACGGCCGCACATCCGCCTGTCGTCCGGCGCGGATGAAAGTCATACGGCGGAGGGGGGTTCGCAAAATCGAGAGAGCTTTGATGCAGTGGTGTGTGTCCTGTGTGCGTGTCTGTGTTCTCATAGCCGTGCATGCCGTAGGCGTTAGACCATTGATCTCGCATCCCTATCAAGCCGGGACGGAGCCCGCCGGGTTTTCACCGCGTAAGGCTATTGTATGGAAGCGGTGGAGGGGGGGGTCTGGATAAGTTGTTGCCGCAAAAGAAAAAAGGCACAAACCACGTGCCACCGCCGCCACCGGTGGATCGGCCTTGCCTACATAAACACCATCCATACAGCCCCGTATGCCCCTTTTTCGGCAAAAACAACAAAAAATAATTTTTGGTGCCACCGCCCCCGTCAAGCCTTCTTCGGAAACGGCTGCCCGCGTACCACGTGCTTCAAGCCGCGGGATTGGGACTCCAAACAAAAAAAAAAGAAGAAGAGCAATGATGTTGCTGGGTATTTGATTGATGTTTCGAGTTCGAGTTCCTGTGGGGGCTTCGAGAGAGGTATGCGGAACTACTACGTTTTTTATTCGCTCGTCACACTGCGGCACCCGTCACACAGCCGCCGTGTGGAGGGTAGGATTTACAAGGCTTTCTTGGACCTGTGCAAGCAGCATTTACACTTAGAGACGGAGGACACCCGGCTTTGCGCAGAGTTTTCAACATCCGGTCTCAGGAACGTTCCAACGAGATGTACGGTTAGTTCTTCAGGCCGCTGCGAAGGGTCCGGGAGTTGGAGGGCATTCTTTCGGGATGGCACGCTCCACTCCGACGCACCCACCCTGTTTAGAGGAGCCTGTCTACTGCTGTGAGCACCCTCTCTCTCTCTCAGCGACTCTTTGCATTCCTCGCCATACTAGAGAAAGACCAGCACTTAAGAACCTCTATTAAGAGGATGGGGTTCATCGTTCCCATGGTCATGCCATATACGTGTACCTGGTAGGTGTTACTGTAAGTGTTGGGGTTCTGAACCGAGCTTGCAAATGTTTCTCAAGTTGTCAGAATCTGAGTTTTGTTATTGCAGTTTCTCAACGTGCGGGCGCTTGCAGTACATCAGAGGAAGTACGCCTCCGCCTCCGCCGCCGCCGCCGCCGGTGGTCGGTTACACCACCCCGCCAAGAGACGGTCGGTCCTCAGGTGGTGAGAGGCTTCACAAAGGCTTTCACAACAGCGCAAGAGAAAGGTGTTCCTCTCTCATTGCAAATGGTCTACAGCAACGCTCGAGACCAAGCAAAACGCCACGACGAAGAACGTGAAGGGTTATACGTATGGTATGACAAGTTGTGTAGATGAAGGAAGCACCACCATTGCCCGCGTGCGTGCATGTATGGATCGAATCACGGTGCGTGTTGTTGGTTTAGCCTTGGCTCCTCTTCAGGATGAAAGCACTGGGACGCTGTTGGAGTCGCTGCCTGCAGGTCCCCGCTCAGGTAAGGCTGCCATTTGAACCGCTTAAAATGCGCTGGCAATATTAACATATTAACATTCCCATTCCATCGGACCACGTTCTCTGCCGCGTGGGCATCAACAATGAGGCTGCACCTTCCCTCAGTCTGGTTCTAAGCTCAAAGCTCGATGTGTACCACTATTGCTGCAGGGGGATATGAACAGATGCCCGAAGGCTGAAGAGTCACGTTAAGGAGGAAGGCCGCATTCGGAAACTTCCAAGAACTTTCGAATGAAATAACATTGGTCCATGGGGGGGAGGGTTCGCGACATTATACACACGGCTTCCCTGTCGGTAATGCTGTACCAGGTGGTACCTACATGTAGACCTAGGGCCTGTATTGGTGAGAACGTGTAATAGACGGGCGAGGTCGACTTCGATTCGAGGAAATAAAACAGTCCAGCAACAGCGGCCTGGCCCATTCTCGCACTTGTCATTCAAGTCGGCGTGGAGTAATAGCAGCCGGCGCATTGGAGTGTGTAGCTGCAGCCTTGGGAAGGAAAGCGGTATGTAACTCCGCCGCTACTGCTGTATGCTATCCGAACCGGATGCGGCTGCGCTGGTGCTCCGACGAGGGTTGTATGTAGGGGTCAGTCGACACAGGGCGACGTAAGTACACATATTTAACTTGTGATTGTTTCCGTAGACCACATGGTCTACACAGACGGGTACTGCTGTAGGCTGGAGGGTTCACGGCTGAAGGGTTCACCTCTCACCTCTCACCTCTCACCGCGTGGCAAACAACAACCAACAAACGAACCGCCCGCACAGAGCATACAGCAGTACTGCTGTCTGTACACCAGCAACCTCAGCAAACAACAACAATGCTTGTGTACCATCCCTCAAGAGTCCCTAGACCTAAACGGAGCATAGGACCCACAACAGACGCACGCGACGGGCAGCGCTCACCTGCGGAGCCAGCGCAAACCCCCTGGCGCAGGGCGGCATGGCAAGGGTTGTTGCCGCCGCAAGCAATGCCCATCGCCTGCCCCTTCCCCCTCTCCCTCCCCTCCGTGACGGTGTTGCCGGCATTGCTGCAGCAGCAACAGCAGCAGCAGCCGTAGCGTCACCTGCTCCTCCTCCTCCTATTGGCAGAACAACCATGGCTGTCGTCTCCAGGCAACCCCCCCCTGTCTCCCCACTCTTAGCGATGGCTAGCCACTCTGGTCCTGTTGGTCTATTTAGTCCCGCTGGCCTCGCCTGCTGTCACCACGTGCGGAAAATAGCAAAAGAAGGTGCGTTTTGTCATGATATTTCTATAGCTGCGGCGAAACTAGAAAAGATGGACAGCGGCAAGCAGGGAGATGGAGAGATCGAGAGGCTGATGGTAGGGTGGCGACGTCGCAAAACTGCCAGCGCAAGCAGGGAGGGAAATGACCTTGGCATCCGACTCCTGGAGCGAACCCGCTGGGTCCAATTGCGATGCAAGCTACTGCTGTTGCTGTTGCGGTTGCTGATTGTGGTCATGCGGCGCAGCACGCGACCAAGGAGCCCCTGCATGAGTGCGTACTACACACGCTGTGCTGTACATACCCTGCGCACACAGCAGTACACATCCGAAACAGCGTGCTCAGCACTTAGAACGCCCAATTGACGGCCGCACCTGGCAAGCACGCCCGGCAACTGGGAGGGCTGGGGATCCTTTGTCTCCTCGATGCCGCTACCAGAGCATGGATGCACCGGCTCATATATGAGTCGCCGCAGCGAACGGGGTACTCACTACATGTGTTCAGCCCCTGATCGCGCCTCAAAAAGGAAGGCTCTTTTTTCCTACAACAAACATTCCCACGCAACCACACACACCTTGCTCGGCTCCACTCTCTCGGCCTCACGTCTCTCGCGACTCTGCAACCCGGCGCAAGAAGTCCTCCTCAACTCGCACTTTTTCTCTATCTCGGTCACTGGAAGTTCGGCGCAAGGTTAGGGCGTTGACGCAGCAGGCAACAACAAGCTCTCTCTCTCTTCTCCAACAACAAGTGGACTTCCCTCTGGTCCCGCACGAGAGAGAAAATATTGCGTTCTTTTGACAGTTACAAAATCACAAATGCCACGTTTTTTTGTTTGCCGACCAAACCGACGGTCGCCGACAGTTTGTCAGGGGGTAAAACACGTGCGTTCCGTGGCAAAAGGAATGCCTTACGCAGGCTGTACCTGGCCTTGCACATTCCTCCTCTGTAACCGGTTTTGATCTGTCCTGTATCAGCAGCAAAGATGAAGTTTCGACTTTTACAACATTGTCTCTCGTCGTCGAAAACGCCGATAATAGTACTACTGCTGTAATGTAGTACGACAAGGACTATTAGTAGCTCGCGCCGCCGCCGGATACACAATCATTTTCATGTGTCAGATGTGTACACATGTATAGAAATGCAAGAATACGCCAGAGTCCCCGTCGAGCAGCGTGCGCCTTTGGTAGCTGGTCTCGGTCGAAGAGTTGTCACAGTTTCCAACGATATTTGTTTGTTAGAAGAACAGCAGCAAATTGCCTGTGGGGAACCACTACATGCAGGCAAACAAGTTGTTAGCCAACGAACACTTGCTGCATGGCTAAATACAAGGACACCACAAAGATAGCTTTGAATGTTCCAATGCATAGCACACGGCACGACCACGAGCGAGTTTCTCCCCCTCGGGTTGTCGTCGACCCACAACAAGTAGTATACCTTGTAACAGCGACCTGAAGGGGATATTCTACACCTCGATTCAGCAAGCAGCACTGTTTGTAAGTGTTGTGTTGTTGTTGTCTTCACAGTAAAAACCGTTCCGTTCTCTCTGCCCAGTACCTTCTTCTGTCCGTACTAGTCGAACACTTGAGTGTGGTAGGTGATATTCCGGCTGGTGTCACTGTTTTTTTTCTCAGTGGAACGTGCTGTAGGTGACACAAGATACCACACCCCCTTGACCGATTTTCAATGCCCGATTACTCCACGACGAAGAGGATGCACAAATGAAACAATGGCCAATGCCCGCACGTAACAATCCATCGTGTTGGTGCTCCGCGAGAGGCTTGGAAAAAAAAAAGCATATTATCATCATGGGGTGTTCAACTTGGTCGTCAAAGGGTAAATGGCGTCGTGGGGAAGGGAGTGCAATTGCGGCTGCCTCGAATCAAGCATTCATCGATGGGAACGAGATCGAGCACACTACGCAATGCTGGCCGTCTTTGCTCACCGCTTTCCTCATGACAACAACGCGTCGTCGCTACGCACCGTCGTCCCGCATCATGATGATAACAACGGCACCTTAAAAAAAAAAGCCACCGAGACTCTTATCTCTTTCTCTTCGAAGGACCAGCCAGCGCGGCGGCTGCGTAAGGCAAGCCGCGTTGCCAAGGAAGGAGTCGTTGATGAGAACGAAAGGTACTATTCACCACCCAAATTCTGAAAAAAACAACTAAAAGCCAGACCTTTCATGTGACACACTGCTGCTGCTGCTGTTACGGGGGTCTTGAAACCGATCCCAGCCACCCGCCACCCGACTCTTCATCTATCAATGCTCCCAGTCAGTCTCTCCTATAAACCAACCGTTTTCCCACGGGCGACTCTCCGCAATATGATAAAGAGGGTGGCATGAAACCACTCCACGTCAAAATACGAACGAAGGCGACGCACGTCTATCAACGTCTTGACCACCAAAGTAACACCGAGCACGCGGGGGGGGGTGGGGGTGTACTCATAGCCGAGCATGCCGCAGTCGATGCCATTGACCTCGCAAACCTACAAATCCAGCATGGAGCACGCCGGGCTCTCACCAAGCGCCAAGCGCCGTGGGGTATTCGGCGAGTCTCATGGAGAGCACGCACACGGGAGGGGCGCGTACGCTTATGTTTTGCATGCCTTAGCAGTTAGCCCATTGACCACGCGTCCTCGAGAGGACGGGGCATTGGTCCCTCAGGACCCATCACCGAAGGCCAATCGTTCCTTCTACTTGCCAAAGGTGGCTCAAAAATTACGCTAAACGCCCGCGGGGGAAGGGGGGGGGGGTGTACTCATAGTCGTGCATGCCGTAGTCGTTTGACCATTGACCTCGCATCCCTACAAAGCCGGGACGGAGCACGCCGGGTTCTCACCGGACCAGGCTCTCACATCACCAAGCGCGAAGCGCCGTGAGGTATTTGGCGAGTCGCATGAAGGGTGAGCTGCATCCTGCTAAGGGTGTTCGGCATCTTGTGCTTACTTCCTTGCGTTCGGATGACAGCTACGTATGACTTAATTTATTTTCTGGTGCTTTCACTTCCAGAGACAGTTGTAAGCACTGTGTAACTGCCTCGAGGAAGCTTGACCATTTTAACACAACGTGGTGCGATCATCCCCCGTTGCGCGGAGTGAGGTTTCTCGACCCCGCACAACATGATCTACTCGACCACCATTATGGTTACCGCCAAAAAAAAAACCCGAGGTAAAAAAAA